GACGGATTGATGGTCTGAAGATTATTATTATTATTTCAAGTGCTAAGGGTTGTTTTAATCACGATACAAAAATAAAATTTTCTTTTTTCCTTTTTTAGTACGACTTGCCAAGCCCTATTCACTTCTAGGTTACATTCAAGATCAGGCTAAGCGGAGAAAGCAAGCAAGAATTTATTTTATTTTTGTATTTTTTTTTAAAAAAAAAGGGTTCTGACTTTTTAATATTTATCAATTTTATTTATAGAGTGTTTGACCCTTCCAATGAATCCCAAAAGATCACCTTACTTAGAGCCATTGGTTATCAGTATGTTTATAAGACATGAAATAACATTTTTTTACACAACTTTATTCTAATATATGTATATATTTATTTATTTAAACTAGAATTTTATCTGACATAGTGAGTATTATTGTTTACATCTACCAGTTGAAAAGTTCAATGAGTCATGTTTTCGATTCTGAAACATTTCTCGCTTTCAGAATGCAGCTTCGGTTGTCATGCCCACCGCATTAGGTAATATTAACGGAAAATTTTTTTATCTTTATGAATTCATATTATATTTTCTAATATCCAAAACATCGTTAATGCTGTATGAAGTCGGTACGGTTATATTGACACTACGGGGTCGCGTAAGTGCACGTGCATATGAACTTGAGAAAAATGGAATCTCACTGTAATAACAAATTTTGCTTGTAGGGTGTTGGAAAGAGAGAGCTTGTAAGACGTGTAGACTGGCTAAAGGCAGCAATAATAGCAAAAGGGGGACGAGTGGCTGACTTTGGTGGCATGACCACTGACGAAGTAGTTGACAGGTAATGATTGTTTTATTGAAATTTATGATAGTTATAATTTTTTTAAAAAAATTTTTTATTACGATCAGAGCATTAGTTGTGTTAAAAGACTTGATTAAAGAACGAAAAGAATTATTAGAACCCGTTTTTTATGCAGAGAAAAGGTTTGAGCTGAGCTATTATCGTAATCAGGTAAATTAATTGTATTGATTTGGTTCATCAAATTTCAACTTTCACTAAATTTTCTTATACGGTTTAGGTTATGCATTTATTTGTTTCTGAAGGTACTTTCATATTGTTATATTTGCCACGAAATCGATTGATTCGATGTAACGATTCAATCTCTGTTTTTTAGCTATTATATCCGCAGCCATGTACACCAAGATAAAACAGGGAGGTGCAAAGTCAATACAAATACTTCACTTCGATACTCTTTTACGTGAGGTGGAATTTCTATCGCAGCTACTCAAGATCGAATTTGTTTATTATCCTGGTGATATCAAGGAGAATTTGGATACCACAATAAAAGGACTGAAGGTAAGTGGTTATATTATTTTTATTTCGAAATCACATAATGTCTAATAGTCGTTCCTCTTGAAATTTAGGACGATAATGTATTCGATTATAAGGATGGTTATGTACAGTTAACAGAAATGGAAAGATCCATTGGGCGCGAGAATTATGGTATATTTTGAAACAAATTATTATTTAATATATATATATATATATCGATGGTGTTTAATCAATCACTTTACTTTTAATTTAGATTTCTATTGTTTCTTAATTTGGCCTTTCATCGAAACATATTGGTTGGCTGGTAAGTACGATTCAATGAACGAGGATCAATGAGATTCCTGATTTTTGACTGTGATTATCATTTCAATAGTTGTTAGCTTGTTTTCAATGACCCCGACCCATACTTCTCAACCAACCACACAAAGTTCGATCTCGACCACCTGGTTCTACGAACATGATTTTCATAATAAGTGTCAGAAATTTGGTAAAACATTGTACTACCAAGGTGATCTTTCTTATTTTGAAGCAGTCAATAAGGAAACTTTGAAGAATGCCTTCCTCCTATTAGAAAATAAGGAGATTATTATGGTGAAACGTAGTCGAAACTCAAAAATCCAACCAACCATTGCTCTTAATGTTGATTACATTCCAACAAGGAATGCTGAAGGAGCGATAGAGCCAAGGGGTAAATTATGGGATTTGGTGGAAAATATTGGAAAGTTTCGTAGGGAAGGGAAAAATCGTAGAGACAATGCTACGGTTAGTACAAGAGTATTAAAGTTAGCTGAACTAGTAGGAGCACCCACTGCAGCAGATGTGGTGATGAATAATTTGGCGACCAAGCCCGAGATGTCTGGGAGATTGGAGGCAAAACTTTAGAAGTTATAAATAACAACTGAAGGAATGATTCAATACCGGCTATTGAACACTTTCGAAAACGCAAACGATCTGAATTACTAAGTACTTATTTTGTTAGGACTCAGAACTTGTACATGCAAATTTGTTGTATAGTAAATATTTGGTCCAATTTCTCCAATTATATTGTATTCCAACCCGAGATTATAATTTTATCATATTACAGAAAAATGGATCATCACTCAATACTATTTGCACGTCCTCCTCATTGGCGTTGAAGTTAACAGTAGCATATACGTCCCCATTTGGATCCATAATCACAATCGATGATGACGCAAGATCATATGCAATATTTGATATCTCGGTGTAAGTTGGTTGTGGGATCCCCTTTCCCTTGCACAGTTTAATGTATTTCTCGGCGACCTATCAAAAGAATTTATGAAAAATTAATAAAATTAATTAATATACAATGAGATCTATTTAATAATTGTGAAATACCTTACATCTTTGTATTCGATTTCTCCTTTTTCACTCTTCCTCAATAGACATAAACAACAAAGAAATAATTTTGCCTGAAAGGAACATTTCTTGATGTATCTCGACCAAGGAGTGATAGTCTTCTTAATGGCTTCTTTAATTATTTCTATTGTGACTTTATCATTTGATGTACTATCTCCTTTCATCAGAGATTCGAGAATTCCCACGGCGCGACTGCACATTAATTTAGTTGACGATAAATAATATGATATCGAAAGAACATCAATGTTTAATGACCAACCTGCAAATACACAAGGCATTCCTCGCGTCTTGGGTAATAGAGCTCACTTTTCTAGCAGTGAACTCTACAGCTTCATTCGTAAATAAATTAATTCCTTTAAGTCGCGACCTTATAATTGTAGTCAATTCTGCATGAGTATATGGAGCAAAAGTGAACCGGTCCAAACCTAAATTATCGGATAGAAATGTTAAAACACATGCTAACTTTGCTAGAATAGATCGTATGAAAACGAGTACCCACCCATCCGACTATCACTACTAACAGAAAGCATGGTAACAGGCAAATCGATTCGATTGGTCAATGCAATAACTATGAAATGCGAATTTAACAATGTTGTCCAATTCAAGAAATTATAGATGACTTTGTTGTGTTTCTTGACCAGAGAATCAAATTCGTCTATCATTAACACGCTATAATTTAATACATTGAGACGCTCGTAAGAACAATTATGAAAGTTCATTCATTTGAAATCATATAACTCTAATTTACATTGGATTCCGTTTAGATGGCGCATTAAAAATTCGGCTCAACAATGACTCTGCATCTTTGGCTGAGACAAGATCGCCCGTTAATTTCTCCCATACGGACGCGTATGCTCTCTCCGGAGGTTTCAATTCCATTCCATTAATTTCAACGAAGTCGAAGGGTACCAATTCCTGATTAATAACCATATTAGCATCCAAAGTACTCCTATTAATGTTCAAAATATAGGAGCTGCTAATAACCGTACCTTTTTTTTAACCTTTTTTTGCAGATTTCTTACAACTTGTCGTACGGTCGCCGTCTTTCCCGTGCCAGGTTGACCAGAAATAACTATTTAAAAGTTAATCTTTTTTGTTAAATAAAAGCACCGCACGAATTCTAGTGATGAAATTTTTTTTTACAAATTCGATGCCCCGAAAATTGTTCCAATGCCGATTTTACTTTGTCGTAAATTAACTTATATTCCTTCTCGCGACATGGCAAGAAATCTGGTACTTCCTCAAGACGTAACATTAATCTGGCACGATCATAGCATGATTGAGGTTTATTTGTTGGTTGCAAACGCAACGCTAGTGGCGTGATTTGACTGACTGACTTTACCCTATTAACAATTAGTGATTAACTAAAATGAACCAATTGCTTCATTGCGAGTTTACAAGATACCTTACTGTACTAGGTGTGGTAACCTTCCCTTGCTTTGTGGGTTTTGTCGGGGTTGTTATGCGTTGACTGGTTTTCCGTTTTCGTTTTAGAACGATCGGTTCATCCTCACTTTCTTTACCACTTTCAATGTATTCTTCGTCGTCATATTCATCGTCGCTCACCTCGGTATAGCGATTTCTTACAACTACTGTTTTCTTCGCAGAACGCTGAAAATTTTTGAGAACGCGTTAAATTAAAATCAAGTGTGAAAAATAGTCTTTTTTGTGACTTACTGTCTCTACAACCATTGTTAAACCTTGTCACTTTTTGCAACGAAACTCGGAGCGCGTCATTTTATATTCGAATTTATTGTTACACGACGGTTTATTAAAATTATATTATTGAAAATTATAAAAAAATTTAAATATTATTCTTATTATTTAGAACTTAATTTAATTAGATAAAAAATTCTGAAGTTCTTTAAGTTGTAATATTTATATTTTCATTAGAGATTCCAAAGCAAAAAGTTGATATATAAATTTCAAAAACCTTCAGTTTATCAAATCTTTTATTCTTTTTAAACATATTTCAATATTAAAAATATTTATATAATAAAAGATAATAAATTAAACAATTTAATTATAATTTAAAAACTTTGTATTAAATTTTATTATTATTTTATTAAATATATTAAAAATTTTTTAGAAATTTTTAAAAATCATTTTTAATATAAATATAATTACTATATATTTTTTTTTCTTGCAATTAGGCTGATACCATTAATTATAACAAACCATTACACATATGAGAATACATGTAAAGTATAAATTTACTTGAAACCCAGCTTACTTATCAATAGTCAAAGCCTTTAGATATGATTTATAGAAGTAATATGTTGTTAGCCTAGTGGTTAGAATTAAAATCCAATTATATTATTAGGATCAATATTTGCAGATTACTTTTATAATCATAATTATAAATCCAAATTATATTGTCACCCTTTTGCAGAAATTGTATAAGAGGTAAAAAAAAAAAAGAAATAGGAAAAGAAAAACAGCACAAGTATATACAATTGAAACAATATATAAAAAAGAAAATAAAAGTTATCATCTATTCTAACTATTATTAAAAAGATTATTTCAATAAATTTATAGTTCAAATCCAAGTTCCTTATGATTTCTTACTTTTTATCACTTGTAGTTAACAAAATTGTTTAATTTCTATTGAAGTTATCAATGTTCAAGAATGTTTAAGAATACTTTTAGAAGAGTATTTCTTAAAACTTTATACTTAAAGATTTTAAATTAGAAAGGAGATTAGTTTTTTATTGTTAATTTTTCTTTCAAGTCATATTTTCTGGAATTATTGTTTTACTTAACTAATGGATAGTTTCAAGACTCCTTTCTTCAACCATTTTTAGGATAAAGATCAATATTTCAACTTGTTGCCTAATTGAAATAGAACCTGAATTTTAAATTTTATTGCTACTTTTTGTTCTCAAGAAATAATAAAAAAACAAAAAACAAAAACAAAAATAAGAGATTATTTTTCTTTTATTTATAACTTTTACTTTATTTAATACTTTCATACTACTCTTTTAATTAAGAACCATTCAACTCTTTTAGAAACCAATTACATCATTGGTTTGGTGTTATATAATTAAAAATATGTAAGAAGTATATGTCTTGTTTACTTTTTCTGTAGCTAACATAATCAATCAATTCATGATCTTAATTAATCATTTTTCAGAAGATCTAATATAATTAAAAATTCAAGATTAAACTAAAGTAAGCAAAATTCTTTAAAAAAATCAAAAAAAAAAAAAGCATGCTTAAGAAAAAAGAAATAGGAAACCAAAGAGATGATAGAGAGACTAAAGACTTCTTTATTCTTGTTTTTCTAAATTTTTAAATTTTTTGAAAGTTTTTAAAGAATATTTTTTCTTGTTAATTTTCTTCTTAGAAAGATATTTTTGCCATAAATCTTTTAGATAGATTTTTTGTATTTAGTTACAAAAATAAACAAAAAAAGTGTTTTGAAAAAAAAATAATAAAACAATTAGTAACTATTGCTTATTTTGCTAGTTAAGAAACCAGTATTATTAAGAAAAATATATAGGCTTTATTATTATAAAAATATAAAATCTTTTAAGAATATCTGTTTTTTAGATTGGCAAAAGAATCAATAAAAAGAGTTTTCAGATAAATATAATTACTATATTATCTAAATTCATTATTAAAAAACTTTAAATAAATTTATTTTTTATTGAAATATTTTGTTATTTTAGAATTTTTTTTAAAAAAATTTTTTTTATTAAAATTTTTTATACTATTTTATAATATAATTCAAATCTATTGTATTTTTTTAATATTTTATATTTCATTAATTTTTTTTAATTTGAATCATATTATTTTTATTATTTTTAATAATATTTTATAATTTTTTTAATATTTTTTGGAGGGTTTTCTTCAATAGATAGACATTATCTCATTATTTATTATTGTATATTGAAGATATATATTGAGAAAAAAACAATATCTCTTGAGTGTATTGCATATAACAAGTTAAATATTAACTTGCCTATTTGATCACTATTTAACTAATATTGTAAAAAATTTCAAAAACAATACTAAAATGTCAGATAGTAGAGTAGTAGCTACACCTATTTACTTAATAAAATTTTATAAAATCTTTTGATTTTCTGAATATAAAGTAAATAAAAAGAAAATAACAAATATAACTAAAACTAAAACTAAGTCGAATAAACTATAGAATCTATAAGTAGAAACCCAATTATTTTTCAAGAAAGTTTCTAAACAGATATGTGATCCTATCTTTTTGACTCTTTAATTACTATAGATAAAAAAGTACATATAATATTGCTTATTATTATAGTTGTTATTGTAATACAAAACTGGTTTGGACACATTTAGTTTTTGTTTTGATTTTTATATAAAATCTAATTGGATGATTGTAGGATACTGATCATCTAAAAGAAATAAACTGATTTCAGTTTTTTGATCAAATAAAAATATTATGAGAATTGTGATAATATAGCAAGTATCATTAGGATATTGTAATTAAGAGTTGACTTGAAATAAACAATAGACCTATTAACTCTGTTTGAGTATATATTATGGACAGTATTTGACTTAGCAAGTATAATAGTAATAATATATATAGTTTATATGATAAAGTAAGGGCAAGAAGAGGTGCAAGAGAACAAAAGAATAAAGAATTGCCACAGATCTTTCTTATGCAACTAAAGGATAAGCAAGACTTCTAAACTTAAATAAACTTTGACCAGAGATTCCATCCTACTATATCAGTTGTCTTAAATGTTTTTGAGTTCTTGAGCTGGGGTTTACTTGCAATAAAGAGTATAAATATTTTTTTTGCTTAAAATTACCATAAAAGAAAAATTTTTAACAAAATAGACATAATTAAAAGAGAGTTTTTTTCTTTTATATATATATATATATTTTTAAACACTAGCATAGATCTTGCTTAGCAAACTTTATTAAGATTAATTTTTTTTTTTTTTGACAACTGGCATACACCTTGCTTTATTAGGTTTATAGAATTAGCATGTACAAATCTGTTTTATACAAATTTCCCCACTATGTCTACCTGATAAAGCTACCTAAGCTAAGATTATTCCTAACTACCGGTTGGCTTATTGCCCTCCATTCT